TGTATTGAGTGTTTTTCATGATTATACAACTTATATGTATGCCTTGTATCAAATTTAGAAAGTTAGTAATTTTTATTTCTTTGTATAAGATTTAAAATTCATGATGATATATAACTTTGATTTGAATTGTGGCATGCTAGAAAATCATGTTTTAATATGTTTGTAAACATATATTAAATTGGCATTTATTGAATAAAAATTGCGTATTTTATTTAATATTTATCTTTTATGAAAGATTAAATCCCATAGCCGTACCTTGCATGAAATTGACTTGTAATATGCTTTTAAATTATGTCTTGGCATGTTGTTTAACATACTTTAATTTGAGAGTATTTGGACAAGTATGAAAATCTAGAGATTTTAAGTAAAATGATTAATTAAAATCTAATTAAGGGTTCCATTGGCCTAATTAAGTGTTTAACTTGATATTTGTGATAACTATGACTTATGTTCTAGCATATGTTAATTTGGAACCATTTGATGTTGTTATAGAAGTTAGGGATTTGATTATCATGATTTAATTAAATTCCACTTTATTGTTCTTATGGCTTAATCGAGTTTTGATATGGTGTATGTAATGATCATGCTATATTGTTTATCATGTATTAATTGGATGCCATTTGATTGAGATTTGAAACCTAAGGAATTTAATTAGTTTATTAATTAAATTCCGTTTCTATTGTATTATTGATTAACTCATGTATTTGACATTGATAGTATGTTTAAAGCATGGCTTTTGACTTATAATGGATTTATGAGTTATGTTTCAATATTGGATTATATTGTTATAGCGCGTAACGAATCGCGATCTGAAGATTCGACATGTGATGTTATTATAGTGCGTAACGAATTGCGCTTTGAAGATTTGACATTGTCATCCTATAGTTGTTGTGGATTTAGAGCATGTGTTGTGTGGTTACAACCTACTTGTGCATGAAGGTAGTTTCGTGTACTGTTTAATACGTATATAACTTGTTAACTTATTTATTTTGGAGTTGCTTGGGACATTGTTAAGCTGTGATGGCTAGGGTTTGGCTCTAGTACGGGGACAAGAGTTCTCTAAGTCAAAAGTTCGCGCGTTGGGTAGGCTGCCTGGGGGTTAGTAGCTCCAAATTTGCCTTGTCTCGACGGAAATCCGAGCTGTGATATCCAAATCTTCCACTATTTGATTTCGCATTGATGTTGTTAAGTACATTCATACTAAATTGATATATTTAGTTGATTTCACACTTTTAGATTGCTAGTTGATAACCTAGAGAATCTATGTCTTGACGTGTGGTATTAGATATTCTAATTATGCTAAATTGTTATATTTAGTTGATGTTGCATTTTAGACTTCAAGTTGATAACCTTGGGAACCACTATGTTGTTGCTTTGTGTAAGCATGCTCCTATGTTGTTGCTTTGTGTAAGCATGACCCTATGTTGTTAAAATTGCATGAATGAGGTGATTGATGCTAGAAATGATCTTAGGTAGCTAGGATGCTCCCTGAGTCTCACCTTGACATAGACATTAGGTGGAATGAACCACAATAATTAAATCATGCAACTTGTAAAACTTTAGGTCGATGCATGCTCATTTCTTACGAGTAGCTTTATGTTACTCACCCCTACGATACTGGGGCATATTTCAGGTACAGGATACAAGATTGGATATTGCAATTGCTTGGGTGATTTGCTGAGTTGAGCTTCTTTAGAAGCATTCTTGTTCACATGCAAGTGTTAGCATGTTCATGATTTGTCTATGAAATGTAATTTTTCTAACTTGGAGGTTTGACATGTCAAATGTTTTAAATGTATTGTAATGAGGTCATAGGCCATTGTAGCACATCTATTTTATCATATTACATACACTTGCATGCTTACTTTGGCAAACAATACCTTCCTTGATGAAACAAAAACCTAAAGTTGCATATTTTTGAGTTTGACCCTATTCTGTTACAGGGGCATTTCGAGTATTTTACAATGAGTTTTTTTTCATTTTTCCTCACGATTCACGTAGAAAACTTGATTTTGACGGGGTGTTTTTTTTTTTTTTTTTTTTTTTTTTTTTTTTTTTTTTTCCAGAAAACATCATCTTGGCCCTCAAAAATCCATATTTTTCCAGAAAATCCTTACTGCCAGGTTTTGCAAATTTTTAGTACAAATGTAGTTAGTACTATTTATCGACTTTTTTTTAAAAATCGTCACGACCGATCCGAAACTTCTGGAGGTCTTGTGGGTGTATTTTAAGATTGCTTTTTCAATTTAGGCAATTTAAAAAACCTCCCGAATCCCTATTTCCAAAACTTGGGCAGTAGCTCGGATTTTTTTTTTCCTCTTGACCTGATTTTCTCGGGGGCATTTTGGGCATTTTACAATGCATTTTTTTTTTGTTTCCGTCCATGCTCGGGCTAGGAAACTTGATTTTAGGGGGGGTTTCTTCTTTGAGTTTTTCCAAAAAAATCCGTTTAGATGCCCGTTTTTACTCTCAGTTGCAGCAGTGGTGGGTTGTTCTCGTCGGGCCGCCACGACATCATTTTTGTTTTTGACCTTTCTCCCCTGTCCGGATTCCAAATTGAGTAAACTTTTTTTTGAACTTGACTAATTTTTCATTGTCTTTCCAGCGGTGTGCTCGATAGCACCTGAATCCACTTTTTACAAAATAACTATTTTGCCCCTAGGTTCTTTTTGTTCGTTTTTGAAACGACACTTCTGCATTTGTTTCCTTTGGGTTCCGTAACCTCATTGAGGGTCACATTGGTGTCTTAGAGATGCATTGTATCTCTAGAGACCGCTGTTTCACTTTTCGCTTCCGCATTTCGAATCCATTATCGGGTCATTTTTTGGTCATCACTGACGTACCGGATTTACAAAACTTGGGTCGTCACAATTATATTATTCTAAATATATAAAAATTGGGTAATTTACACAGACCTCCCTATGATTTGCCATAATTACAGGCGGCACCCTTCCTGTTCTGGAAATTACGCGGACCTCCCTTACTTTTTAAAATATCCTATACGGACCTCCCTTCCGTTACGGTCAACGCCAGTCAACGACGGAAAATGACGACATCAGCTACTATTTTTCATGAAATGCCGAAAATACCCTTGTCCCCACCCATTGATATTATATATATATATATATAGTGTTTTTTTGAATCCATTGAGAAATGCTCGGTATTGAAGTTGGGATCAATTGAATCGGTTTTTTTGTAAATCATATCAAACTGCAGCAGTTGAATTTCAGTCGCAATTCTTGTTAATCTTTCAATCTCCACAACCACATCTCCGTTTCTTTCTGCAGCTTCCGGAACTCGTGCTTGCGGCGGCTGACTACTTCTTTCAGAATCTAGTTGGCGCCTGCAACATATGATGATAAGAAAGGCCAAAAGACCCACACCCGTCTCTATAGGTATTCATAAATATTATACATGTATATACAGACGCGCACAAGAGAGAGACAGCGTTTGCTTGGGTTGTCACTATGCAGGCTCTGTATGTAATCTATGTAATAGACGAAGATAAGAAGGGAAGGGGAGAGGCGATGACTGTTTTTAATTGTGTGTGTTATATATATATATATATATATATATATATATATATATGGACTAGTATAAAAAAATAAAAATAAAAATAAAAAACTAGTTTCTGTAATTAAGAAATACAAAACTATGAGCACTGCGACAAGAATTTATTTCCAGATATATATATATATCTCAGCTAGTAGCATGATCTTTGTGCAGAAACAAACCTGAAAGAAGAAACACAATTTGGTTGAAAGTTGGGCGAAGATTGAGGTATAAAGGAAGGCACCGTATGCGAGTTTGTTATATTTGGGTTGTTGTTATCTGTGATGACAGCTTAGCGAGGGGAAAGCGTAACGGAAGAAGATTACAAAGAGAGAAGAGACAAAGGTATAGAGAGAAAGCGATGGGCCACATGCCATGACACCAGTCAGAGTTGCCGATTTGCTCTTCCTCGCCGGCGGCTTGACCAGAATCCCCTTGCCGGTGTTCAAGTCGGCCTCGTTCTACTTCAAAACCTGCCTGATCTGGCATGACCTTCGCAAATTCGATTTCGCCAGTAATTGCTTTGAGAAAGCCACTGATCTCACCTCAAACATCGAGATCAGCGCCATATCAGATCACGAAGAGCGAAAACTTCTCTTGGATCTAAATATAGCGAGATCGAGAACGGCTTGGGAGATATCGGACCAAAATTTAGCAATTAGAGCAAAAACTTCACTAAATAGGCATGATAGATTTTCATTCCTCTCTGCCCTCTACTCGGAAACGCAACTCCCATGCTCACAGCCAGTTAAGAGTAAAAAAATCCACTCGTGTCTTTCTCCACCTCACTTTCATACATAAATCATAATAGTTGCCCTGTATTGAATTTCATGGATGAGAATTTGGTGCCAAATCAAGGTCTTTGTAACTATTTTTAGCCACCTGTAATACTCGGACCGGATCAAAAGCTCACCGGAGTTTGGGTTATATTCCATCGGAAACAAACGATGGTTAGGGTACATAAGTAAATTCATTTCATTTTTATTTACACTATTATATATATATAATATTATTTATATAGGTATTTTAGTCATTTATCATAAAAAATTGAGGGTATTTTAGTAAATTTGAAGTGTCAGTTAGTGCATTTGACTGTCGGTTACGGATAAAGGAGGTTCGTGTAGTATATTTTAAAAAATAAGGGAGGTCCACGTAATTTCCAGAACAGAAAAAGTGCCACCTGTAATTATGACAAACCATAAAAAGGTATGTGTAAATTACCCATAAAAATATATGTATACATACATAAATCTTACCTCATATTTACTTATGTATAAAATATAAATTTTATATAACCTCTTCTAAATATATTTTTAAATAAATAAATGATAAAAACTAAAAATTAGTTAAAAATTCTTTGTACTTTTAATAATATAAAATAGTATAAATATAAATATAAGTATATATATATACACACACACATATTAATTTTTCAATAGAGTGACATATCCCCCAATTACATTACGCCAAGTGAAACCCACTTCGCCCTTTCCCCTTTGTCATATAAACCCTTGAAATCACGCAAAATTTCTTCCCTCCAAATCTCCAACCATCCCAACCTTCGCTTATTCCCTTCGAAAACCACACCAAAAAAAATTTCAAGAGAGAGAAAGTGAAGCTCGAATCAGGAGCCCTCGTCGTCATCATCGAGTATCAGTGAGGCAAGTGATGGGAAAGGACGATGATGAGATGAGGGGAGAGATAGAGGAGAGACTGGTGAACGAAGAGTACAAGATATGGAAAAAGAACACGCCCTTCTTGTACGATTTGGTGATCACTCATGCCCTAGAGTGGCCTTCCCTGACCGTTGAGTGGTTGCCGGACAGAGAAGAGCCTCCCGGGAAGGATTACTCTGTGCAAAAGATGATCTTGGGGACCCACACTTCCGAGAACGAGCCCAACTACCTCATGCTCGCCCAGGTCCAGCTCCCTCTCGACGACGCGGAGAACGATGCGCGTCACTACGATGATGACCGCTCCGATTTTGGTGGCTTTGGTTGCGCAAACGGCAAGGTAATGTATATATATATGTGTGTGTGTGTGTATTAATTGCATATAATTTGTGACATTTATGAACTTCTTGGTTTTGATTTATTTATTTATTTTTCTAAGGGTTTTTTTTTTCTTTCTTGATTTCTGAATTGAGGCGTGATTAATTTGAGAAATCACAAATTATTTATACTAGGTAACGCTGCTAACGCAATTAGCACGTTTTCGGTTCTTAATGTAAACTGTAACTTGGATGTTTTATTGGTTGCTTAGGTGATGAATTGATGTTATTCTAAAAGGGTAAATCTTAGATGAGTTCGCGCGTCAAAGGGTACCCAGTTACCTGAGTGCCTGACTTACCGAAACTGATTTCTAAAATGGTGAAATTGAAGGTTTATTAGTTTGATTCTGAGTGGTTGAGTCATGGAATCGTGAAGAATTGGGCCTAAAGGATGCTTCTTGTTCTTGGCTTTTGCGTTGTGTTGTGTTGAGGCATGATTAATTTGAGAAATCACACTTTTCACTAGGTAACAAAATTAGCAAGTTTTGTAGTTATGAGTGTAAACTGTAACTTGGATGTTTATTTGGTTGCTTAGGTGATGAATCAGTGTTGTTATTCTAAAAGTGTAAAGCTTAGATGAGGTCGCATGTCAAAGGGTACCCAGTTACCTGAGTACCTGACTTACTGAATCTGATTTCTAAAATGATGAAATTGAAGGTTTATTAGTTTGATTCTGAATGGTCAAGTCAAGGAATCATGAAGAATTGGGCCTATAGGATGCTTCTTCTTGTTGATTTCTGCATTGCGTTGAGGCATGATTAATTTGAAAAATCACACTTTTCACTAGGTAACACAAGTAGCATGTTTTGTAATCTTGAGTGTAAACTGTATCTTGGATGTTTAATTGGTTGCTTAGGTGATGAGGGTGTTGTTATTCTAAAAGGGTAAAGCTTAGATGGGTCGTGTGTCAAAGGATCCCCGGTTACCTGAGTGCCTGACTTACCGCAACTGATATCTAAAAGATGAAATTGAAGGTTTATTAGTTTGATTTCAAGGGGTCAAGTCAAGGAATCATGAACAATTGGGCCTAAAGGATGTGCTGATGTATGCCTGATATAAGGCAAAATACCATCTTTTTTGTAATCTCATCTCAATAGTATTTTTTTAAGGGGAAAATGGATGAAATTAGAGAGAACACTGATGTATTGTTTCAGTTTTGGATAATTCAATATTAGTATATCTTTAGTCTGATAGAAGGCAAAATACCATCTTTTTTGTAATCTCATCCCAATAATATTTTTCTTAGGGAAAAATGAATGAAATTAGAGAGAACACTGATTTATTGTTTCAGTTTTGGATAATTCAACATTAGTGTATCTTTAAATATCTTTCAGAGATTTGAATTTTCAATGGCCCCTTTGCTACTTAAAACCGTGGTGTTGTGTTTTCACTTTCCACAGTTTTACAGTATGGAAATGGGTTTTTATAAATCTCTCAGAGATTTGGATTTTCATGGCCCCCTTTGCCACTTAAAGCCGTGGTGTTGTGTTTCCATTTTCCACACAGTTTTACAGTATGAAAATGCTCACTCAGTTAAAAAGTTAATTAAGTGAATCCATACACTTCCTGTTAAAAATGAAGCATTATTATTAATTAGTTTAAGTGAACAACATGTAGTTCGTTGGATGCTTTAATTGTATTAATTGTCAAATGTCACTTAAATGCCTAATCGGTACTTGATGGGCATTGGTTTTCATAGGTTGAATTCTAGTTCACTTGTTGCAAGGTTCTAAGTAGTTGTAATGATTGCTATAACGGTAACAGTTGTGTTGCAACATATGAGGTTTGTAACAAATGTAACATGATGGATGTGACTGCTATATATATGTACATATATTTAATTATTTTTTTGCATTGCCCAAATCCCTAAAAGAGCATGATATGGATGTTTTAGTCCCAAACTCTCACAATTTGAGTTTTTGGTGACTTCAATGAATTCTTTTGAGTTTGCAAAGATGATTGAAAATGGGTAATGGGCTTTGCATTATTTTTTAATTCGTCGTCGGCAATAAAAAGTTCACGAATTCTATTAATTACTTTTCTAAGACCAATGCTCTAAGACATGGTATATATAAAAGTATTTATTAATGTTAATATTTGCTATTAAAAAGAGAGACTTAAACATCATCTGATTAGGAACAAAAGTAAAAAATACGAACCAAATTAAAATTAGTAAAATAAAATGAATCATACTTATAAAACAACTCAGCCGACTAAAATTAGAAAAATAAACTGAGCATGATAAATACTAATTCTTGTTTTTTTTTTTGTTTTTTTTTCATAAGTAGCATAATGAGTAAAGTTAAATAAATCAGAAAATTTAAAAACTTCAATGTCATCCGATTTCTAATAAAAAGAAGAAAAAGACTTGTTAATGTACAAAATTATTTAATATATAAATATTGCATGGAAAATTCTAAATAATCTACTAAATTGTAGATGAGATTCATCAGAAAATTTGAAACGACATTCACCCTCTCGTTATTTATTAACCAACAAATTTAGGTGAGAATTGATCTAAACTAAGTGAAAAATGAAAATAAAAAGTTCTGAAACTTACTTGTTGAATAAAATGTAGTGAACTCTTTGATTCAAGATCTAAGCTTAAATCTAGTTTCTTTTTTAGTTTTTGAGAGTAGATAACGGTGTTTTGGGGCAGAATAAGAGCTTGTTTTCTTGTAAAAAAAAAGTGAAAAACTGAGAGAAAGTGGCACCATAATGGTATAATGGTGGTTATTGTTCATTACATCCGTGCATTGCGAAATTGTATATCTATAGAGGAGTTTGTTAATTTTTTTGGGTTCCTTGAGTCCTTAGGACCTCTCTCTTTGACTTCGGCCTTTGTGTAGCTTTTGGGATGCGTATCCAAAAAAAATAATGCAGCCGTGAATTGCTAATGGACTGCTATAGCTGTCCGCAGCGATATCATCTCCTGGTAATGCCATGATTTAACAGCTATTAGGCACATTAATAATTTTACTTCAGACCATTTTCTTTGGTGGAACCTGTTAAGAAATTAGCTAATGATATATTGGATAAACCAAAAAGTCAAGTCAAAGGGAAATCTAGATAGGTTTGTTGAGAGAATCTCAGATAGGTTTGTTGAGAGAATCTCTCCATTTCTCTCTTATTGTTGTAACAACAAACAGATAAGTTTGTTGAGAGAATCTCTCCATCTCTCTTATTGTTATAACTATAAATACACAATAGGACACCATCATTTCAGTGTGGTGAAAATTTCCCAAATTATTGTCTTATTCTCTTATCTATTCTCAGTTTTTCACTTGGTATCAGGGCCTAGAATACGTAGTTTTTTATTTATTATTTATTATTTATATTTTTTATCTCACAATTCCTCTCTTCTTTCTACCACAATATGATATCATGGCTTCTGATTCAACCTCCTCCACTTCAACCAATGCTTCACCTCTATCACTCCCCTCTCTTCCATCACCTATTCCAGGAATCCCAAACTTGGCACAAGTATCTATCAAACTTGATAGATTAATTATTTGTTGTGGAAGAGCCAACTCCTCCCCATTCTTTATAGGACTGAGATGTTAAGTATTGTTGATGGCACAATCACAGCTCCACCAACCACTATCTCCGAAATTCTGTAGTGGCTCCAAATCCAAAATACCTTGAATGGAAGAAGACAGATTAGATTCTTCTTAGCTGGCTACCTGTTATGTTAACTCCTCAAGTACTCGCACAAGTTGTGGGTTACATGACTTCAAATGATACATGGGCAACCTTAGATTGTGCCTACATTCTAAGACAAATACTACGTATTATCAGATCAAGCATGGACTTTCCAATATTTGGAAAGGATCTTCTTCAATCACTGCATGTATGGATCGTATCAGAATGCTCTCAGATGAGCTTTCTCTTATTCGGCGGCCCATGACCGATAGGGATTTGATTAGTTGTGTCCTTGACGGACTCGATCTTGACTGTGATGTTATAGTCAATTCTGCTCAGACTATGTCTATTTCTCCTTCATTTGAAGAACTTTATAGCATGCTTCTTAATCGTGAGAAATGATTGGAAATCTATCATAAACCAAATTCAGATCGTGAAACTATTGCTCTCTTCATGTTTGGCAACCGTAATCATGGAAATTCTTCCAATCGAGGAAGAGGTGCTTATCGTGGTCGTGGTTGTGGTAACAGACCTCCAACCTATTCTCAAAATTCCAACACCAATTCGCCTCTTATCTGCCAGATTTGCAGCAAGGTAGGTCATGGTGCACTCACATGCCATAAAGCACAACTATGCTCTTTTTATTTTTTTATTTTTTATTTTTAGTTAAAATTCATTAAAGAGCGTTCAAAAGGGGAACGCGTACCGAATACATAAACGAAACCAAAACCTACGGGCCCAACAAGGCCAAGGAGTCTAAGAACTCCTCAACAGATGAACAGTAGGTGCCCTTAACCCAACTAAAGATGGAACGAAGAATAAAGAGTTTAAGAGTCACCGTGGACGACTCCTTGCCTTAAAAAAGTCTGTTGTTCCGCTCTTTCCACGTGCACCACCAAACACAATGCGGTACATTCCTCTAAGAATCACGAGCAAGACCCCCTACATAGCAACCCCTCCACGCATTAATGAGGCCCCTTGTAGACCGATGCATTACCTAAGATATGCCAAACAACCCGAAAATCATGTTCCAACAATCAGATACCATAGGACAGTGCATGAGGAGATGATCCACAGACTCACCATCCTGTTTGCATAAACAGCACCAATTAACGATAATATTGCCTCGCCTCCTCAAATTGTCCAGAGTCAAAATCTTTCCCTAGACGGCTGTCCATACAAAGAATGCCACTCTAAGGGGAGCCTTAAAGCGCCAGATTGTCTTCCAAGGGAAACCAGAAATAGGTTAGTTGGAGAGGCACAAGAACATGGACCGAACATCAAAAATACCATGGGAAGAGGGAACCCACAGGAGAGCATCATCACCTCTACCAACTGCATCCTGTTGGTACAACAAATCTAAAAGGCTGCAAACCTCCTCCATCTCCCAATCTTGAAAAGAGCGCCTAAAACGCACATCCCACGTAACCTGATGATCTTCCTGTAGCATTCTTTGCCATGAGTTTCTCCTCTCCCTCAGATTCCACATGGATTCTAGATTTTGGTGCTACCTGACACCTGATGACTCACACATGGTGAATAGACAAGCATATACTGGTTCAAATCAAGGCGTGGTCGCAAGTAGTAATACCTTACCTATACTTTCCATTTGTGATTTGCATATTTCTACTACCACTAATTTTAAGTTAAAAGATACTTTACATGTGCCACATTTAATAGCAAACTTACTTTTTGTTTCTCGTTTTGTCCATGATAATAATTGTATCCTCTCTTTTTCTCGTGATGGTTTCTTTATAAAGGACCGACAGACAGGGAGAGTACTTCACCAAGGCAAGAGTAAAGACTCCCTATTTCCTCTACAAGCACATCCCCATTATCCTTCTCCTTCTTCCAATGTCATTGCAGCCATGGTTCGAAAGAATACTTCTCTTGATAATTGGCACAACCGTCTGGCCACCCTGGACCATATGTTCTTGATTATGTAGTTAGAAATAAATGTCTGTCTTTTGTTGGAAACAATAATATTTCTCGTGTCTTAAGTTGTTCCATTAATAAAAGAAGTCGCTTTCCGTTTTTAAGGTTCACTACAAAATCTTCTGCCCTTTACATCTTATTCACTCAGATTTGTGGGGGCCTGCTCTTGAATTATCTCATGGCGGTTTTCGTTTCAATGTTTTCTCTTCCTAGGCGATACAAGGAAAGACAAACTTTCTCCAAAATCGGTGCCATGTGTTTTCTTGGGCTATGGAACCCAACAAAAAGGATATCGGTGCCTTGACCCACAAACTGGTAAAATATATTTCTCTCGCCATGTTTGGTTCAATGAAGATGTGTTCCCATTTACTCAACTACTTACCACTGGTCCTCTTAAGCCATCCATATTGCTTGAAGATTGGGTTGCACTAATTGAACCTACATTACCTACATTTTGGGGTCTGCTCCTACCTCCATCGTTGTTACCTACACCCCCAGCTGTTACCACAGTCACACCAATTACCGCTCCTACACTGTCACCAACACCTCACACAGTCCCACCAATTCCCATTCCCACAGTGCCACCAAAACCTGTCATCACTTATCACAGGCGACATACTGTACCCTCACAGACTAGTGCTACAAAACATGTTGACTCATTACCACGTCCTAACTCAACCCATCCGCCATTAGACCCAGCCGGATCAAGATCAGTACATCACATGGTGACTCGACTTCGTGATGTTACTCTTCAACCTAAGACCCTCTTTATAGGTCATGTGAGCAAACAGCCACTGCCAAGATGCCTCCAAAGTGTGGTTCCTTCTCTTGTTGATGAGCCTACAAGTTATATTGAAGCATCCCCATCAACTCATTGGCGAGCTGCAATGCTTGATGAATTTAATGTCCTTATTCGTCAATGAACTTGGTCGCTTGTTCCAGCTTCTCAAGCCCAGAATGTCGTTGGATGCAGATGGGTTTATAAGATCAAACGATGTGCTGATGGCTCTGTAGAACGACACAAGGCCAGACTTGTTGCAAAAGGTTACCATCAACAATATGGGCTATGGGCTGGATTTTGATGAAACATTTAGTCCGGTTGTTAAACCCCCTACTATTCGACTTGCCCTCTCTCTTGCCATAAATCGACGCTGGCTATTCGTCAACTTGACGTTAAAAATGCCTTCCTACATGGCATTCTTCATGAAATAGTTTATATGAAGCAGCCACCAGGTTTTATCGACAATGTTTTTCCTAAACTTGTTTGTCGTCTTCACAAATCCATTTATGGGTTGCGGCAAGCACCATGAACATGGTTTGATGGCTTTAGTGCTGCACTATTTGAGCTCGGATTTGTTCAAAGCAGAACTTCTGCGTCTATGTTTCTCCACTATGCTGACCATGATATCACTATTCTTCTTGTCTATGTGGAAGATGTCCTCATCACTGGTTTCAACAATGCTTTCATCTCAACAGCCCTCACCAAACTGCACAAGAACTTTGAGATTAAAGACCTTGGGTCATTACACTACTTCTTGGGGATTGAAGTTTACCGTGATTCTTGTGGTATCCAAATGAGTCAAACAAAATTTGCTCTCAGCCTTCTAAAGAAAGCTAATTTCCTTTTAGCTAAACCATGCTTATCCCCCGTTGTTGGTGGTTCTAAATTATCCTTATATGATGCCGGTGGCCTTGTTAATGCCACATCCTATCATAGTCTCGTTGGTGCACTGCAATACCTCATCATCACACGCCCAGATCTTACGTATGCTGTGAATCAGGTTTGCCAATTAATGCACCAGTCACGTGAGATTCACTTAGTTGTCGTTAAAAGAATTCTTCGGTACATCAAGAACACTCCTCATTTTGGCATGAATCTTGTTAAATCTCGTGATGAACATCTGAGGGGATTTTCTGACACTGATTGGGCTGGTTCTCCGGATGATCGACGCTCTACTATTGGCTTGTTGGTTTACTTTGGTCCTAACCTCATCTCCTGAGCCATTAAGAAGCAAACCACTGTTTCTAGATCAAGTGCTGAATCAGAATATAGGGCATTAGCACACACAGCAGCTGATATCCAGTGGTTTACACACCTTCTTCGAGAGTTGAAAATCCCATTACACCATCCTCCAATCCTTCATTGCGACAATATCAGTGCTACATACTTAGCCTCCAACCCAGTTCTTCATGCAAGAAGCAAACATATTGAGATTGGCTATCACTTCTTAAGGGAACGTGTTTTACGTGGCTCTCTAAAAATCGTGTTTATTCCAAGTGCTGACCAGTCAGTAGATTTCTTCACCAATTCTCTATCAGTACCCTGGTTTTAACTACTAAGAGACAAGCTGCTGGTTCGTCCTTGCTCCACCATGATCTTGAAGGGGGGTTGTTAAGAAATTAGCTAATGATATATTGGGTAAACCAGAAAATCAGGTCAAAGGGAAATCTAGATAAGTTTGTTGTGAGGATCTCTCCATTTCTCTCTTATGGTTGTAACAACAAACAGATAAGTTTGTTGAGAGAAGCTCTTCATCTCCCTTATTGTTGTAACTATAAATACACAATAGGACACCATCGTTTCAGTGTGGTGAAAATTTCCCAAATTATTATCTTCTTCTCTCATCTAGTCTCAGTTTTTCACTGAACCAAACTGAAATTTGAAGTAGGCTGGTTCTGGGTATAAATGAAATCAGACTAATTCTGAACTGTTGACTTTTAAATGTCTCAAGGCACGGGGCATACGCTTATTGGTATTAATTTGATTTGGAGCATTGTATGAGTTCCTTGTATCAATAAGCACATAAAACATACTTTTTTTTTTCTTTGACCATGGAAGATCTAAAAGCTTGCTTAGCAATTATGTTTGTACAGTTATGCTTAGGAATGTTGAAGTAAGCTATATCTGCAAGAGTCTTTACAATAATGTGGTTATATTAAGTGTTTGTGGTTATATTAAGTGTTTGTGGTTGTAGTTATATTTTTACGTTTTTACTTTGGATCCATTGGTATTTGATTATTGAATTCTGATTGTAGAAACAGCTGTTGATGTGGTTTCTTTGTAATTATATCACGTGTCTGAGTAAACTATCAAGTATGCGATTTGCTATGAGCCTTCAGTATTTTTAACATTAATTTTTTCTCATGCAGGTACAAATAATCCAGCAAATAAATCATGACGGAGAGGTTAACCGGGCTCGTTATATGCCACAAAACCCATTTGTTATTGCCACCAAGACAGTTAGTGCAGAAGTCTATGTTTTTGATTATAGCAAACACCCATCTAAGCCTCCACTAGATGGCGCATGCAATCCTGATTTGAGGTTGAGGGGCCATAGCACTGAAGGATACGGTTTATCATGGAGTCAGTTCAAGCAGGGTCACCTACTAAGTGGTTCTGATGATGCCCAAATATGCTTGTGGGACATTAACGCGACTCCTAAAAATAAGGCTCTGGATGCTACAAATATATTTAAGGTATATTTCTCCACATATGTTGGATGTATTGTTCAAGATACTTGAACTACTTAAGTAGTTTACACAACATTCCTTCAAGTAAAAACTAAAAATTTTAACGAATTAATGCATGCTTATGAGTCAGCTCACCTGACGTCGTTAGTGAACCCGCTTCTCATACATGAAAAACCAACTTATGATCAAAATAAAATGTTTAAACATTTCAGAATTCAGGATAAGGTAAGCTGACAGTGAAAAGGTGACTGAATTTCTGTATCTGAAAATATGAATGCATAGAAAGCCAGAAATTTGCATTTTAAGCATGTGAAGATTTATTTATTTTTTATAGCTGCTACCTATGTGATTTATAGTGTTTTTATTTATTTATTTTATCTATGCTTTGATATGTGCTAAAGTAGGTTCATGAAGGTGTTGTAGAAGATGTAGCATGGCATTTGAGGCACGAATACTTATTTGGTTCAGTTGGAGATGATCAATATCTACATATATGGGATCTTCGGACTCCTGCAGCCAGCAAGCCTATTCAATCTGTAATTGCTCATCAAAGTGAGGTGGGTATCCAGAGTTCCATTACTCCATTACGTTCATGTATTAAAATATGTGGGCACACACACAAAGAACCACACAGCATTCAAACCATGGTTTCAAGTAACGATTGCAGCCACCTTAATGGAAGTGGTCATGGTGTGATGAATGTTGGGGTAATATGGGAGTCAAGTAATTACAACAGTCGCTTCTGTTGTGAATTTTTTGAACTTGCACACCTTGGCCAAACTGCGTCGATATAGTTTAAACCACAGAATCTAATAAATATAGGTTTCTAATGATATTTAGTGGATTTTTTAAATATTAAATGTGATGTAGTCACATCCCCAAATTTGAATGCAAAAACATCTTGTCCAATATTTAAACCTGGTGCGGGAAATGGAGTCACAATCCATCCATGTAACAAGTAATCATTATCCTCAGCAAGATTGGAATGACATCTCAAACATTTAATAATGAGTCCACAATATGTACATAATCATAATGTCTCCAAATAATCAGTATGTGGTAGTACATAATCAGAGTCCAGAATTATAACTCTAAACTTCAAATTTCTCCAAACCATAATGGAAAACAAATACAAACTAAGGAAGGTATGATAACAAAACTGCCATGTCCTTTACTCGCAAACAACTTGAGTTCCGCAATAGTTATAGGACATGCTTTACATACTCGATACAATATCTTCGCCTCGCCTAATGGTGTTACTATTGATAGAGTTTTACTATGTCTCGGGTTCAATCCCAGGGCACCCCTAATTCTTATTATAAACTAGTGTGATGCTCTGGCGTTAATTAAACCTCTAGCTAAACTACCATAAATAGTAAGTGTATCTTACACTATTTGCTCTGGTGCCTTGTCCTCTTGTTCAGCTGGTGTAAGCAAAGACCCTAGCTCTCCTTTGCTGCTATTGTGGTTCTGAAACCATATGCTTTCCTTTTCCTTTCCTTTGCTTATGGTTTGGGTCTATCTTCACCATATGTTTTCTTTACTGATATTTTCTTTGAACCATAAAAACATAATATGGTTTCAAAACTTACACTGAATTCCCTTGTTAGTGACGTCCCTTTAACGAGGTTAAAGTCTGGTGTGATACTACTAAAATTGAGTTAATATAACATTTGTTTAATAAACATGTCTTGTAAAATGAGGGCAATATTAGAATTTAAACATTTATTATAACATGATGTCGTCATTTTTTGGGCTTTGACCCATGTTGACTATCAACGAAGGGAGGTAACTGTTGCCAACTTTCGTTTTCTGGGGAGGCCAATGTATTTCGGAAACCATAGGGGAGATTCGTGTAATTTTGCCAAACCTCAAGGGAGGTCAGTCTATTTTACCTAAAACAATACATAAATTATTTATTTCTAAATGCTTTGTCACATGTAGTTAGCTCCTCACAATATTAGATTTTTATATTTAGTCTTCTCTTTTCTTTTTTTCGAAAGAAAATCTCAAGTCAAAGTTTGGATGTTTGGTTATGTAATGTCAACTTTAATATTTTATAGAAATATACGAAGGGTTCTACATCCGCAACCTTTTTATTCTTGCAAAACTTAATATTTTTGATAGAAAATCCCTTTTCCTATAAGCAAGACATTGAGTCACAGCATTTACTGACATCAACCTTTACCTCTTTTTTCATTAATAGGAAATGGATTGTATAATGTCTGTTTGCATATATTTTTATAGAGAGAGAATAGTTGAAGAGTACTGTTCTTCGTAAATGTTATTTGTCTGTAAAGATTGTTATGTTGTTTGTGGAAGGAATGAAGCATGTTTACGTATTGTAATATGTCTCAGTAGTTTTGAATAGACATAATTGTGTGTGCGTATGATATTAGACGGTTGGAAACACATTTCTCTCCATTTTTTTTGCAAATTTCTTTCTTGTTATGCATTCTTTTGTTGCTTTGAGAGCTGTTGACTTTTTGATAGATATTTTCACATTAAATAATTTATCCTTTGGGAGTATCTAGAAATTTTGAGGTTAATACTGTTTGAATATGATTAAATACTTTATTTTCCATGGTTTTGTGGTAGGTTAATTGCTTGGCTTTCAATCCTTTTAATGAATGGGTTGTGGCAACGGGGTCTACCGATAAGACCGTTAAGTTATTTGACCTACGGAAGATCTCCACTGCTCTCCATACCTTTGATTGTCACAGGTAAGGAGCTTCTCTCTTTCTTGTGATGTATTTATTTCTTGCAATATTTGTATGAAATTATTGTATATATCTTTTATCTTTGTTGCTATGACAATTAAGTGGATTGCTGTGATTCCTTAAGTGGGCGCGGGCAGGCACACTGCACACTGCACACACACATATAATAGAAATAGAATGCATACATATGGGTGCATATTTTTTTACTGAAGTTATGACATTAGACAAAGCAGAATTGCGAGACAAGGTCAATGTAGCCGACCCAAATAGTTGGGACAACACTTCATTGAGTTGAATTTAAGATGAGATTTTATGTATGTATATATGTATGAGAATGGTTTAGAGTTTGTCTTGGATGGGACAGGGGTAGGTGCCATACTTAGCAAAAGTATATGTAAAATATCTATATATTTATGGATGTGTATTTCATGAACTCAATATTTTCTGTGATGTGCAACAGGGAGGAGGTTTTTCAGGTTGGGTGGAATCCGAAGAATGAGACCATCTTAGCTTCTTGTTGTCTTGGTAGGAGACTCATGGTGTGGGATCTTAGCAGGTTTGTCCTCCATCCAACTATTAACTGTTTTTGACTGGATTGTTGTTGGAGGATTTTCTTTTTTCTTTACTATGTGGAATTGTTTGCTATAATCTAGCTTTTGCTTTTTATAAATTTTGTTTATCTTCATTTTGGTGTCACTGAAGCCCTTCCTGCAAATAAAAGAAATTTCTCGGAAACTATATAGGAAATTTCTAGTTATTATGGAAACTATGTAGGGGTGGGATCCACTCTTTTTTCACTATAGGAGAACACTTTGAGTTGGGTCAGCAAGGCAAACCATTTGAAAGACATTACAATTTACAAATGGCTTTTATACCAATTCTTGTGGGGTTGGGTCTTTTTGCATTAGTTTCTTCCTTAACATTTCCATTTGCTTACTTTCCTAGAACCAACAGAAAAATACAGGGGAGACTCTAAATTCAGCCTTTCTGGAGTAGTTTGTCCCATGGTTTGCCGACTTGGCCGGCTTGCATCGGAGACTCTATTGAGTTCGAGTTGGGCTGATATAGTGGTGGGACTCAAGACTCACTCGTGACTTGGGGTGACTTGGTGGTATTTAAGACGGAATCGGTGCAGTAGAGTTGGGGGTGACTCGCCCAATTCAGCGGTGAACTCACAACTTAGATTTGATCTTCGAACATCAACTTCATCAATTACCTTACCTTTTGAGTTCTGAAACTTAACAAATCTATTCTAGGTTGTTCTATGTAGGACCAATGAGGGTCCATAGGATTGGAATCGTAGGATCGGATCGAGAATCGTAAGATATCTTCGATATAAGTAGAGAATAAGGCTAAATAACCAACATGAGACACCCTAGAAAAATCAAATAACGTTAAAAGATACTAGGACAAATGGCATACACTTAAAATAAATTTCTTGATTTCAACAAAAGCATCAACATAACAATCAAGCAGAATCTCACAGAAGAAATTAAAGTAAAGCCTAAATAAATAGAAAAAGGGAACAGAGAAGCAGGGATAGAAGTACAATTTAGTTGCCTAATTGTTTGAGCAATTTAGTTGAAAAGTTTACTTTTTGGTTAAAAAAAGGGGAGCAAAATGAAGATGGAAAGAACAACGCAAAAAAATGAAGTCTAGCTTTGTTTTTGTTTCAAAATGGGGGAAAAAAAAAACAGAAAGAAAGAAGAAGAAAAATTAAGACGAATAAAACAAAATAGAGGAAAATTTTGAAGTTTTGAACCATACCATTGAAATTTAGAGTTGGATCATCTGTATTTTTGACGCGGGTCTCTGATTTTTATTTTTATTTTTTAATGCAATTAGGCTAAAGAGTTGGACTTTATATTTAAAATGATTAAATATATTTGTCCAAAATGAATTATAGACCCGAATAAATCCAGAAGAAGAACAAAATAACATGATTCAGTAGGATTGGTAAGATCATGTGATCCTATGCGATTCTATGATCCTACTTCCGATTCTACATATCCTACCGCGATTCTACTTTATAGCGATTTTCATAGGATTGGGATCGGTTTGACAATTTGGGATCTTAGAATTGTGAGATTCTATGATTGTGAGATTCTATGATCCGAATCGAGATTTTAACAACCATGGATCTATTAGGCTACAACTGCAAAAAAATTCCCAACACTGGCGTTCTTTATTTGCCTTTTTATTTCTTTCCCCCTTTTTAGCTGTGGCTCCTTAGCTTTTCTAAAAGATTAGGTAATTTTTTGATAAGCAAAAAAAAAATGTCTATATGCCCATTACCATGTAAACTTATTTATATGAATTTTGTTCCCTTGTAAGACGTAAGAGGAATAAGTGGCACATCTATATATATTCTTATAATATTTATCTCACATGAGATAGATCTTTATTTTTTATTATTATTTTTATTTTTTTATAAATCCAATCCACGAGCTTACCAAAAAAAATTCTAATCAACTCTCATAAATTATAAAAGATAATAATAGATAATTATATATATATATATATATATATATATATATATATATTAATAATTGTAAGTTTCTTTTGAGGTTTGATATAGTATTTTGGATTTCTAATATAGGAATTTTTTTTTTTTTTAAGTAAAATTTATATAAAAGACGCTCAAAAGAGGAGCGGATCCCAAAGAAACACAAAGGCCAAAAAACGCCTCAAGCCTTCAAAGAGGGCAAAAAAAACACAATCTCTTCTAAAGATCTATAATCTCTCCCTGAAACCCAACAAAAGAGAATGAAAATAATAGAGAACTTGAGCATAGAGACAGGCTTCTCCTTTCTATCGAAATATCTCTGATTTCTCTCCATCCAAATGCACCACCAAATACAAAGAGGAGTAGCCCTCCAGGCATCCCGAATGAGAGTCCCCACTGAGAAGCCTCTCCAAGCCTTAATCAAACCTCTAGTGGAACAAGGCATAACCCAGGGAACTCCAAACAAACCAAGCATCAAAACCCAGCAGTCTCTGGCCATACTGCAATGCAACAAAAGATGATCAAATGTCTCCTCATCACTCCAGCACAAGTAACAATGGTTAACCACCACCTGATTCCTCCTTCTCAAATTATCCTGGGTTAAAATCCTTTCCAAAATAGAAGTCCAAGCAAAGAAGGCCACTTTGAGGGGGGCCTTAGAACGCCAAATAGACTTCCAAGGGAAAGGGCCCCCAGCATCAACTATAAGACACCTGAAAAAAGACCTAACCTCAAACTGACCCTGAGAGCTAGGATCCCAAAGCCAACCATCCGAGTCACCATTCGTGATCACCTGGCTATACAAAACCTCCAAAAAACGAGAAACGTCCTCAATCTCCCAATCCTGGAAGTGCCGTCTAAAATGAACATCCCAAGTCAGTCTCCCGTTATCAAGATAATAACAGTCAACCACCATGGCCTGTTTATGCGAAGCAATCTTGAAGAGCCACGGGAAAGAGAGAGCAAGAGAAAGCTCCCCACACCAAACATCCTCCCAAAATCTAATCCTCCTACCATCCCTGATATGAAATCGAACATGTTTGCAAAAATCATCCCACCACCCTAGGACCACGCACCTCAAGAGAACACCACCCTCCGCTGCTTTCCCCAAATTTGCTTGCGATAACTCTCCTCCAAAGCCAATGCGTCTCAATCCCAAACCTCCAAAGCCATTTCCCGAGGAGAGCTTTACTGAAAGGCAATAACCTCCTAAACCCTAAACCTCCACATTGAATCGGACGGCAAACTTGTTCCCAACGAACCAGATGGTACTTGAACTCTCTCCTCTCTCCCCCCCACCCCCCCCCCCCCCAAAAAAAAGAAAATTACGCTGCAACCTCTCAATTCTCTCAGCCACAGAAGAAGGAATCTGAAAGAGAGAGATGAAATAAGTGGGGAGGCTAGAAAGGGTGCTCTTGATCAGAGTGATCCTCCCCCCCTTAGAGAGATACTGCTTCTTCTAACCCGCCAGCCTCTTCTCAAATCGATCCACAACCGGGTCCCAGCACCCCACACATCTTGAAGGGGCTCCAAGAGGCAAACCTAAGTAAGAAATGGGGAAAAAACCAGTGCGACATCCAAGAATCTGAGCAAACATCTCAATCTCAGGAACCTCCCCAACCGGAACTAGAACGCTCTTTCCTACATTCACCTTTAGCCCAGAAACAACTTGGAACCAAATCAAAACACATCTCAAATATCTCAATTAAGACACATTAGCATCACAAAGAACTAAAGTATCATTCGCAAACATCAAGTGGGAAATTTCTAACTGACTAGCAACATCTCTGCCCCCCCGAAAACCTCTCAAACCCCCAAATCAACAGCCCTCATCAACAATCTATTAAGAGCCTCCATCACAAAAAGGAATAGGAAAGGAGAAAGCGGATCCCCTTGCCTCAATCCCCTCGAGCTAGCGAAAAACCCCGCCGGAACACCATTCACAAGGACAGAGAATCGAGCGCTAGAGATACAAAAATGGATCCATCTCCTCCATCTCTCACCAAACCCCATCCTCTCCAACAAGTAGAGGAGGAAGTTCCAACTCACACGGTCGTACGCCTTCTCAATATCCAGCTTGCACAGAACACCCGGAATCCCACTGCTCAATCTGGAGTCCACACATTCACTATCAATAAGAACTAAATCCAAAATCTGACGACCATCCACAAATGCATTGTGAGAGTCAGAAATGACGCCATCCAGAACCTTCCTCAACCGAGATGCCAAGACTTTTGCAGTCAACTTGTAAAAGCAACCCACCAAGCTAATAGGGCGAAAATCCCTAACATCCAGCGCCCCTCCCTTTTTCGGAATGAGAGCAATAAAAGTGGCATTCAAACTCTTCTCAAAAGAGCCCTGAGAATGAAAGGCGTGGAAAGAACCCATCACCTCCTCTCGAACAACCTCCCAGCACTCCAAAAGGAATCTCATTGTAAAACCATCAGGACCTGGGGCTTTATCCCCATTACAGCTCTTCAAAGCGGACAAAACTTCCTCTTCAGAAAATGGCTCCTCCAAAATAGAGCTCTCCTCACTCGAAATAGAATCAAAATGAAGCGCAACAAGAAAAGGTCTCCAACCAGAAGGTTCAATGAACAACGTCAAAAAGTACTCAGCAAAACTTTTACAAATCTCCTCCTCCTTGCAAAACACCTCCCCATCCACCCGAATCCTCCCAATGTGATTGCCCCTTTTATGAGCATTGGCAAGTCTATGAAAAAACTTCGTATTATTGTCACCTTCCTTGAGCCACAACGCTCTAGATTTTTGCCTCCACGAAATCTCTTCCATGATAGCAATCTTAGCAAACTCTGCCTGACACTCCACCCTCCTAATCTTCAAGGAATCCGCCAAAGTACCCTGACCCTCCATCCTATCAATATCGGTTTTTTCTCCAAACCAGATTTTCGAAAACCTCTTTGTTCCGGTCTTTAAGATCATTCTTCAAAAGACGTAGCTTACTTGCAAGAGAATGACTAGGGGTGCCAACCACACCATACCCCAATCACCATGAACGGACTTGCTCCAGAAAACCGTCGGCCCGAAGC